TCCAGGTTCATCATGTACATTTGGCCTTCCATAGCCTGCATAGATGGATAGTGGTATTCTTACTACACACATTAACTGGTGTATTTCTCTTATGATATAGTCACAAAATCAGTTTTTGAAGCTTTTGTTGTTTTTGAATGAACGTACCACTGAAATTCTCATTACCCTTTCCATGACAACATACAGTAGCTCTTAAATGCAACGCTGTTCAGCAAGTGTCATATCCCCGATTTCTGAGAATTTTGAAAGCACCTGAACACAAGTCAGCAGTAGACTTTTCAGATCTTACAGATACAGTATATGGCATTAGCTCAAGTAGGTTTCAAGTCTTTGAAGTTTATTTTCATACATTCAAAAGTCTATAACATGATTGTATGCTCTAGAAAGTGTGAAGAATATGTCATAAATTCTACATAGTATATATACAGCACACTATGCAGCTCAAAAACAATGAATTGATTATCAAAATAGTTGACTAATTGACTGATTGTTGCAGCTCTATTAAAAAATTATCATTCTACTTGACATTTGTATTACACAGGTTAAAAAATGGTGGTAAGCATATGACTTCAGACATATATCACCATCACATTAAAGCTTTGTAAGATTTAGAAAATCTTAAGGAGACAGAGCGTAAAAACACACACAAGGCAAAATTGGCTCACTACTAAACAAAACAATAAGCATTAACCTGTCAGATAAATTATAATGAGAGGAACTGTTTGTTTTTTGTGCAGGTTTAAAACCAAGAGACAAGGACGAGGGACCTTGCCAGTAACCAAAAAGCTGAGATGTTCAGTAGAGGTGAAGTTGCCAAGGGAAACAGGAGAACATTTATAGTTGTGAACAAAACTGAGGTTACATTAAAGAGGACAAATACAAGCATAAATCTGCTCTTGCCTTATATTTCTGCAGTCGATTAGTCCGGCATGTTACTGTACTCGCCCTCACTCTGCCTAATTTGTTACCCTCATAACTCATTCCACTGTTACGTAACAGCACTGTGGTTCTTTTTTAACTTGTAAAGACTGCATCTTTCATTATTTATACCCTTTCATAGCGCAGATCTAGCTGGGATATAGGCCTGTATGGGTTTGAGTATTAAAATGGGGCCAACTTCCTGCATTCAGGAGGAAGTGCAGCATGTGTGCGCCAAACTGTCATCAAAAGAGCCACTTTTAGAGGGATAAAGCCTATTTCCGAGTCAAAGCATCCATTCCTCTGTAGCTCAGCAGCATTAATGGAGCAGCAGGGCTGAGAGTATAGTGCGTCAGAGTCGTTACCTATTCTACCATCCATTAGCTGAAAATTGTGTTGACTTTAAAACTACTTTCTATAAATCAAGTGAGAAGGGTTTTCAGATTTTATTAGAGTTAACATTTTGTCACTGTTAACCAGGGGAACTGTATACGTTGGGTTTAGGTTTTTGCACAAAGAAAGAATAGGTGAGGAGGAGAAAGAAGGGATGAGAGCACTCCCACATAATAGTCAAACATGAACCATTTACATGTTTTCTGCATTTTCTCATATGATTAAAGACAATGTACAGCATTCTCTGTCATACTAGATAATGGCAGAACAGGGTCAACTCCAAAAAGAAAAAGAAGTAAGTTGTGTGCCTAGAGATGTCTCTAATGTCTGTTTCTATTTTTAAAAAGGTCACAGCGGTGTTAGTAATGCTTCATCAACACCAATCTGATAGATGATCACTGAGTGGAGTGAAGAGAAGAGAGCTTTAAAGGGTAGAGAAGAGACCTGTTGGCAAGCGCTCCTGGACTGTTCACAAGGCATCACTTTTTTGGGGCCTGTGGATCTGAAAGGTATGAATAAAGTGCTACATTTGAGCCAACTAACTGTAATAAATATGCAGTGAAAATGAAGGTTTAATTGTTCCAACAGAACCATGTTCTGCCATATTTCTGGTGTGACCTAAGACGGACAGCACTAGATAAATCAACAAAAGTCTTTTTACTAAAAGAGTTCCTTGATTGCAGGTGTCTGTTCAGTAATCCTAACAAGCAGGCTAAGAGCCAGGTTCTTCTCATGGGTCCTGTTACCGTAGTCACTTTCCATCACACAGATTTAAAAAAAACAAACAAACAAAAAAAAACGTGATCCTGACCTTGGGGAAATGCAGAAAACTCCTGCTGATGTCATTGTGGTTTTGGCCACAGGCGTAGACTAGAAAATATGAGCTCTGAGGGAACTCTTGGTATTTGTCTCAATCAGCATAGACAGGGTGGCCAACAGGGGAGACTGTGCTTCTGTTATGTGGACATGGATATGTCATTTCCTTTCCTGGATTGCTTATGAAAGCAATGTATTATACTATTGGTCGGAATGGTGATCGAGTTGGATAATCTGAGGTGCCGGAATAACATGAGAATAATATAACAAAATTATTGTTATTGGTAATTGTCTTTTTATCCTTTTCAATAGCAATAGTTTTTATTTCTCCTTCCTTATCTTTTTTACATTACATCATTTCCATTACACATGGCTTTAAGATTAAGAATGGCTTCATCTGAAAACCACTACACACGTTTACACACACAAACACCGTTTCTGTTATGTTGATATGTGATCCAATCTTGCTGTACTTCCTCTGTCCCAAAGAGACCGTCTTTCTTTGCACTTATTCCCACAACAGTACAATGGAAGATTCACCAGTGAGACTTCCCTGGAACTGGTAGCATCCCCTGCCATTCTGAAGAGGACATGAAAACAACCTTCATTATATAAATTACACACCTTTTTAAATTGCTTTTAATGTTTAGCTTAGTCTGATGTGTTTTTAATGTTTTACTATTTGATGTTGTTTTGCTGCTTTTATGTTTTTATGTAAAGTGTCTTTGAGTATTTAGAAAAGCGCTTATAAATAAAATGTACTATTATTATTATTATTATTATTATTATTATTATTATTATTATTATTATCTTAAACACATCATTATCTTGCTTCTTAATTGATGATGATACTTACAGAGCCTACAAAACGTATTTGACTGGTGATTTTTCACCACATTCAATCACAGTAACTGGGATTTCTGGCAGTGATAAACAGAAAAAAACAGGTCTCTACATAATATTAGACACACAATAATTAATTGACAACTTTCCACTTTTAAATTATGATTAAGATTAACCAGTTGTTGTTAGAGGTGGTGAGAAACCAAGGCGTGACAGTGGGTTTTTTTTTGTTAAACAATGGAACACCCACACTTATATTCAGTTTCCTGGCAAAAAATGACTTCATAAATACAAAGAAACATTCTAGACAAAATCACACCAGGTTAACTGAAAAGTAGCAATCAGGGAAAAGATACAAGAACATTTCTGAGGCACTGAATAGACCTCCAAGTCAAGTAAGGTCAATCATGAAAAGGAAAAGAGTCACAGCTGTAAATCTGTCGACAGCAGCCTATGGTCAGCAGCATTTGTGTGAGAAGGACACTAGTGAGGCCACCAAGAGACCTGTGGGGACTATCTTGTTGGCCACAAGGTTCGGTACATACAACAAGTTCCTTTTCCGTGTGGAGTTTGCATTTGTTTGTTTCCTTTAAGTGCACCAGGTTCTGCAGACCAAAGGCAGTTCAGATGTGCTAACAAGATGCAGACCTATTGACATAGACTAAAGCCTGTAACTGCTGCAAGACATGCCTCTATTTAATATTGACCTGAAAGCAGGTGAATACGTCTGCAGTCAGTTATTTTGTGTTTTATATTTGTGATTAATTTTGCTCAACTCACAGAGATTCATTTTCACTTTGAAGTTTTATTTCTGTTGATTGAATCTTAATTACAGAACATTGTGATACACATAATAGAACCAATTACAGGCACAGTGAATGTGATTTTTGCAGTTTCCCCATTTGGGACTCTGCTACATAAAAAGAAGTATTATTTTTTTAAGTGCAATAGAGAAAGGAATCACAAAGGATGAATTTGGGAGGTCGAAGTCCCTATTTTATCACCCCGGTATGTGCCATCTGTCCCGTCAACACATCTGCTCTTATACAACAAAGTCACAAATTGGACTGGAAACGTTTTATTGCCTATAATTCATTCATGAGATGTGATAGCACTTGTGGGAACAATTAATTGGCTTGTGAGGGCATCTGTGGGAAAATGTCAGACATGAAGAATCGCCCTTTGCCGTGGCAGCTTTACAACAAATCCTACAGCTATACACAACTGCATTATTCTATAATATACTCTATATATATTAAACTAAACGTGCAATTATTTGTTAACATTGTTTGCATATCGATAGCTGGCTGCACAGGTAATGCATATGTAGGTATTACATATTAATATTAATTAATATTCATTTTACCAGTCCTGAAAAGTATACTGAATCTTGTTGCACTGATCATTAAATTCAGTTTATCATGGTGTACGAAAAAGCATGACATAATGATCTATTAGAGTTTAATCTACAACAGTTTCATGAGTGCTTTGGTTGCTCATTCTGGCGTGGGATTTGAATTATTAACAGTTGTGATCTCAGTTGCACCAAAAATCGTCATGGCCAACTCTAGTCAGTAGGGGGGAGTGTTGTAATATAGATATTCATTCATGAAGTCATATCATCATTCAACCAATCTATGACAATTATGTTCCATTGTGTTGTACTATCTCAAACATAGGGTACTTTACATGATTTAACATGATACCATAGCATAGTATTCAGTGCTATGTGGTATATGTATTCAATTTAATTGAGTGTAGTTTTATAAGTTTAAACTTCATTTTCCACATTCATTTTTATTTCATAATCAGGCAGAGTGTGGTTTCTGTGTGTCTTCTTTAAACTGCGTTTGTGTTGAGTGTGTCACTTTATGTTGCTCTGATGCTAAGTTTCCAAGTAACTGTTACCAAGGCTGTAATTGTATGCATGCAACAAGAAATACAGGAAGCCTGCATGTCCTTCACCACATTGATTCAATCCTGTCAAGTTTTCATATAATGCAATATTCTCAGCAAGTTTAAGTCTGATCAGTGTTCAAAAATTAGTGTCACTTTTTTATTGTCGTTGCAGGAATGAACAGTTTAAAACAGAATGAGCACATTTTGAAAACAGTTTGTATACCAGCTCATTTTCAGCTTTCAGCTGTGAAACGGTGTCTTCACACAGCAGCTCATTTTACAGTCTTCTCACTAATTAGCCTATCTCTATGCCTGTATGCCTTTCTCTGTGTGGAACTTGCTAAACAAGCACATCGTTTGAAACCATTCATTCATCTCCGCTCTCTTCAGCTGCTGTCATGGCAACCATGTATGACTGGCAGAAAACAGACCGCAGTCTCTGAGCTCCAGTCAACCTTCAGAGCATGAACCACACTCTTATGGGCAGATGAAGAGTTGTGATTTGGAGACACCAGGGCAGCTGCAGACTGTGAGGTGAGTCAGAGAGGGACTAGGTTCATTAGCATACTGTTCCCTATTAATTCTGGACAACAACACTAATGCAAAATTATACATAATTAAAAATACATGTGTTTGTTTATGGTGGCTTGTAGTACTGCATCTTTGTTTATTGTTTTGTCTTGATAGGACTATGACGCATCAAGCATATCAACCCCTCCTTCCCTCTGGAAACAAATATCTGCAGCAGAAATGGGACATGGCTTCATATGATTTACACAGGGGAAAGGTCAGGAGAAACATTTACCTTGGTTTGTGAAGTGACTTAATAACTTGCTGTATACCTTGTGTTACATAAGCCTCAAGCTTTCGTTCTAGTCACTCACCAACCAAATGAACCTTTTTTTTCCAACCACTTTATCACCATTCACTACCTTATACAATGTTTTTTGTTCTCCTAAGGTGAAGTCAGCAAAACCAACAATAAACACAACTCCACCAAAGACCTATGACCACCTGACTCTCAGGCTGAAGAAACTAAAGGTTGCTGTTTTAGCTCTCATGGTTTTACCTCAACTCACAGCTAATTTTTCAGCACTGAAACCACCCAGTGGTGTGCAGTAAATATAAGAATGTTGTTGTTTTTTTTTTACCTCAGTTCAAATATAAATGTTGTAGTGTAAATACTTTGTTGCTGATCATATGTTATTATATTTAGCTCGAAGAGGAATGGACAACGAAGATTGAGAGGGAAAACAATATGCTTATGGAGAAAATATCACGCATCATGAGGACGACTGGAGGAGTTGACAACAGGAAATATTATGACAGAAAAAGGTTAGCTGAGGTTGTGGCAGAACGATTGGTATCAAAGTATATATTTAAGTCAGGCAACAAGTTGTTTTGCCAAGAAATAAGGTGGCCCTCGAAACTAAAAACCCAGTTGTGAAGCCTGTGTTTACTCTTCATTGTAGCCTCGGCAAGGAGAAGCGACAGCTGGAGTTGCTCCGTATTACCAAGGAGAATCAAATGATCCTGTTCCGTCTGAGCCAATGCAGGCCTCACTATAATGTGAAGAGCTGGCATGAGGACTGGCTCAAAACTCTCAAGGTGATGGACAGCATTGCACGTTACCCACGAGAAAGATCAAATAAGCAAAAGGTTACATTTTCTTCTTTTTTAGATAAAGTAACATTACTGCTGTGGTTCATTTATCAAGCACAATCAGTAACTTCTGCAGTCTGGATACTATGATGTCAGTATCACAATGATCTCATAAACTGTATCATAGGATCTTTCTTGTATACCACAATAAAGATGTGTCTCAATACCAGGGACAAGAAAACCCCATCACAAAGTGCAGTGACTGTGATAAAGAACAGAAGATCAGCGCTGATACAACGACACAGAGCCCTGCAAGCAACATGGCCACTGATAAAGCACAAAAAATTAAAAGTGAAAAGGGGAAAGAAACTAGCGAGAAAGAAGGTACAAGAACAGAGATGCAGCAGGACAGATGAGAAACCCATTTCACCTGGTTCTTCTGACAGCACAGCAGATAAACCTCAATGCTGAAACTTTTTCCTCTCCTGGTGGATCTGAAACGCCCACTCGTCACACACCTAAAACACTCAAGGATAAGACTGCAAGTCCTGCGAAAGAGACTGTTAGTTCCACTTTAAACATTCTGCAGTCTTAACACCAGAGAAAACTCTACTTAGATACTGTATGGTACTTATATGATCTTTGGTATTAGATGAGTCTCAAATCTGTTGTCAGTTGTAGTATTTGTATTTGCTTTGTACTGAGATACATTTATGAACACAATACCTCTGTGGAAGATGTAATATTCACAGACAGAATGATAAACTATTGTAATGCTTCTTTCATAACAACAAATAAAGTAATAAAGAAATTAAATAAGTGTGTATGTATTTTTTTTTAAATTTACATTTATAACATTATTTGACAGTAAGACACAGCTAGCGAAAGTGAAAAAGACAAGAGTTAATGCGGAACTGTCTATCCAGTATGAGTTTCCTTACGGCACGATTTTGTAGCACACTCCTTGCAGAAAGAAGCCGCGGATTTGATTTTACGCAGCTAGCAAGCTAGCACGTACTGTTGTGTGCACTGTTTGATACGTTGCTTTCTCTCTTTCTAAGAATGACACACTTTTGATAGTCAAAGCAGAAATAAAACTAACTCATAATGAATCTCGACAGACTTCGAAAGCGAGTACGGCAGTACATTGACCAGGTAAGAGTGAGGACTTATTTCTGTATCGCTAGCTAATGCTAGCTTCAGAGCAAACCTGGCGTCAGTGGTAAGAAACCTTCATAATTTAGCTTCTGGCTAAGTTAAAGCTATCACCCAGCCAGGCAGACAAAGCAAAACATAAACATTGGAGTGATGTTTGCCCTGTTTTGTGTGTATTTACAGCAACAGTATCAGAGTGCTCTGTTTTGGGCCGACAAGATAGCGTCGCTTTCTCACGGTGAGTGTCTGCTACTGTTCATGACTAGCGAAGCTAATTATCCTCCCAATCTGTACCCAAAGGAACAAAGCTAATGTTAGTATAACTGTTGTTTTATAGGGATATTATTTCTGTTCTGTTCTGTTTGTTATTGTTAATGTGCCATCACGACTGAAGATAAACTTTGTACTAGTTGTCAGGGAGGATAACCGGTAACGTTAGCCCGCCAGCAGCAGCTGCAGCAGCGATGATGTTTAGGCTGTCAGTGATAACTCTCTATCGTCAGAGACGGATAACCCCTAACTGTTTGTTTGGCATACAGAGGATCCCCAGGATATCTACTGGCTAGCTCAGTGCCTTTATTTGACCTCACAGTACCACAGAGCCTCCCATGCCCTCCGTTCACGAAAACTTGACAAGGTAATGGCATGTTATGTACAAAGCTATGTGCTGGGACGTGAGTGATGGAGTTGATGTTTATGACACAAATCAGTATATGAAGGATCTGTTTAAGATTTTGTTATGTGTTTAAATAAAGATTAAACTAGTGTGAAACAACTCTTGTCTTCTCGCACACAGTTGTACGGAGCCTGTCAGTATCTTGCTGCTAGGTGCCATGTAAGTAACTGGATAATGCATCACTTCTAAACCCTTTTATACGTGTTTATACTTGTATAACATTTGCTCCAGAAACATGGCAGATATTGTTCATGATTTACAATATTCTGTTTTGTCCAGTATGCTGCCAAAGAGTTCCAGCAGGCCTTGGATATCCTGGATGCAGAGGAGCCAGCCAGTAAGAAGCTGCTGGACAGGAGTTTGAAAGAGGACAACGGGACACCAGAGTCAACCAGGGATTGGGACATGTCCCCTGCCTCTGTAAGTTTATGCTGCTTCTGAAATATAATATACTGAATACTGAATCGGAATCAACTTTATTGCCAAGCAGGTTTTCACATACAAAGGCCCTTGATTTGTTAGTGTTGTATACTCGAATATTATTAGTAAGCATTCTGTGATGTTGCTTTGAAAAGGACACAGCCTGTCCAAAACCAGCCACATCGCCTATATCTTTTGTTTAATGCTGTTGTTTGACTTTTCAAACGTGCACTTCCGCTTTCCACAAAGACTCCTAGTACATTTTTATTTACTTTGTTGGTACAAGTGATACTCACACACTGTGCCACATATGTAGTCCCTATAAATCCTTAATTTCCACATGTTTAGAAACAAACATTAGCAGTGTTTCTTTTTTCTTTAATTAAAAAAAAACAATAGTTAACCTCATACATAAACAGATTGGCGTAGAGTTTAGTTCCTACTCACTGCAAAACACAAGTGGTCTCTAATGCTAGCTAGGTAGCAATGTAAAAACAATCTGAAGAAAACATTTTTTTTTTTAAAACTACATCTTATTAACTAACAATTGGATATCCTTTTCACCTGTAATAGTCACTTATGAGATCATTGTTTTTATTTCAACAACAAATGTATTTTGTTGCCTGCAGGAGGAGACACAGCCACACTTTCAATATACACAACCCCATTGCTTCAAGTTGTAGCAAAGAAATAACAAAACATAGGTATCCCTACTGGCTATGCTGTTTACATACTTGCTAATTTTTTTAAATTATTATTATTATTCTATACTTATACTATTATACTATATATAGTATATAGTGTGTGTGTATATATATATATATATATATATATATATATATATATATATATATATATACATACTATTTTTACTTATTTAAAGAGTTTGTTCACTGACATTAGCAGCGTTGTGTTGAGAGCATATAGCAGTCCGTAGGTGTGTGCCCTGAAGTTGTCAGTTTAGCAGTAAATGTACAGTGTATGTTAGTTTGTCGTTGAATAAAGGCTGCAGCTTCTAAAGTCCAAAGTAAAGCCCCTGAGTGTGAGTGAAGGGGGGGTTGTCGTGTTGACAATGTCAGGTGTGCATGGCGAGGAGGAAATACTCAGACGCATCCGTTGCCTTGCAGAGGAAGGGGGGCTGAGCAAATGAATCAACATGCTGCGCACAGCCCAACGATGACATGAGATTTATTCATTTTAAATAGTAAAAAAAAAACTAAAACATGTTGAGCTCAACATTGATATTGGATTTATGGGAGACACTGCATTTTAATAATGAGAGATCAGTTTAGTGCAGCAGATATGATTTTGAGCAGGAATGTTATGTGGCATATAATATTGGCATAAAATATCTTATCAAGATGTGACAGATGTTTCAGATAGCTGCATAGGTCCAGTCTTGTTAATGTTGCGTACAGAGCTATAACAGTACAGGATATTCTGAGTAATATTATGTGCATTTACTAGAAACTCTGACCTCTGCCACACTTCTTCTCCCTCTTCCCCCTCTGAAATATTTTAGATCAACAGCTCCATCTGCCTCCTGCGGGGTAAGATCTATGATGCCATGGACAACAGACCACTGGCCACCTCCAGCTACAAAGAGGCCTTGAAACTGGATGTGTACTGCTTTGAAGCCTTCGACCTTTTAACGTCCCACCACATGTTGACCGCGCAGGAAGGTGAGGCTGATCTGTTGCAATGATGTGCACTGATCTTTTAATTTTCTACAAATATGGGCCATTTATCATTTCAATATCTTGTGAAGGCAGTATATGTGAAACATGTTTTTCAATGTTCAATAGAGAAAGACTTCCTTGACTCGCTTCCTCTGAGTCAACAGTGCACTGAGGAAGAGGAGGAGCTGTTACACTTCCTATTTGAGAATAAGTTAAAGAAGGTAGGGGTCTCTGTGAAAATCACTCTTGCTTATTAATTCGTTGTTTAATTAAAGATTAGGTTGGTGATATTCTATATTTTTCTTATTGCCGACTAATCCCACAAAAAAGACCAAAACCAACAATGAATTAATACGACTAACAAGCATTCTCTCTGTATACAAACCCTGATATTAATCATAGTTTGTTTGTGCCATACACACATTGTTATTCCATTGTTGTCCAACAATTATTAAAGGCACATAATTTAGCCGTGTTGTTGCACAGAATGATACTCGGAATAAACTCAATATACCCATGTAATGAGGGATCTTTCATTACAATGAACATGGGCACTGCAGTTTATTTAGAGTCAATCTCAGAATCACCATCTGCCTTATCCATTAATTGATCCTTTTTGCAGAGCTTCATTTGTATACGGTCAACATAAATTGAAATGCAAATGCCTATTATGGATATTCTCGCCTGTTTTTGTTCTAATCCCTCCTTATCTGTCTCCTTGTCTCCTCTCCTTGCTTTATCTCTTTCCCCACCTACTCTCATTTAAACCCTACACCCGCTTTTCACACACATGCATAAACACACACTCTCCTTCCTGCTGCAGTATAACAAGCCCAGTGATTTGGTGGTGCCAGAGATGGTAAATGGTCTTCAGGACAACTTGGATGTAGTGGTGTCTCTTGCTGAGAGGCATTATTATAACTGTGATTTCAAGATGTGCTACAAACTCACATCAATGTAGGTGCATTCAGGTTTCCTCTCAGTTTGTGGTTTGCTTGTTTTTTTTAACTGGTGGAATTGCTGCAGATACTGCAAATATTGCAGATCATTTAGATTAATAACACTTTAGGCAAATTAAGCACAAGCTCTTTTCTGTAGTAGGACTGTAGATAGTATGTGTTTAAATTTTGATCGATGAACAATATGTTATAATATAAGTAAATTTAGATTTAGTACTTTGTTGATGTAGGTTAAAATATTGTGTTTCCCATTAGAAAGTTGACAGTAGATTTTCTCAGTTGTCCTTTAGTATTTTCCCAAATTGGATATGATGTGAAGTGAGCTTTTTTAGCTAGCTTGGCCAATATGAATTTCTTTTTTACCTAAATATGTATGTATTTTTGGCCATGGATATAAAACAATCTTTTATACTGTGGAATCTCAATAACTTGCCTATTTCAGTTTTTTTTTTTTTTTAACCATTAGAACCATTTAATGCAACTCTGTTTTTGTATTTCAGGGTGATGGTTAAAGACCCCTTCCATGCCAATTGTTTACCAGTCCACATAGGAACTCTGGTGGAGCTTGGAAAAGCAAATGGTATAATGCACATCAACCGCTGATTCACACAGTTAGTTTTTAGTTAGTTTCATTTATTGTGTACTCATCTTTTTCTCCCCCCCCCTGCAGAGTTGTTTTACCTCTCACACAAACTTGTAGACTTGTATCCAAACAACCCAGTAAGTGTTGCAACTTTATCACTATGCATATATTTCACCTGTTAAAATGATTTCCATTATATGATAACCAAATAAAAACTTTTATCAGGTATCCTGGTTTGCTGTTGGGTGCTACTATCTCATGGTCGGCCATAAAAACGAACATGCTCGGCGATACCTAAGGTATGCATTTGCACACTCAAGGGGAAGTACATCCTGTCTGAGGCCACAC